CCCACTCAGTATAATCGAGAATTATCGAGATGACAAAATCAAATATCGAGAGAACACTCTTTAAGTACAAGCTATCCTCGCTATTTAACAAAAGCCAGGCCGAACGCTGCCAAACAAATAGCTCTTACTTTCAACGGGCCCGAGAAGTTCGTGAAAAGTATCTTGATGACGCTTCGAGCCTACATTACCGAATCCAGCAGGATAGATTCCAAAACGCCGAAGCAAGCCCAAACTTCTTCATTTCCTTCCCAACTCGCCGCTCGCAACAAATCGCCCAGCAAACAGCCTATAACAAGGAGGTGTCTATACTCTCAGGCGTTGCGAAATATGTGGGTTTTCCAGCTGCTCCGGCGATCCTGCCAGCGCGGCAAAATGAGACAGATGAAGATTTGGCGAAGATGGGGGTATGTACTCTACTATACATCGGAATATCGAAAGAAGTGCTAAAGTAAACTTTTCGCAGATTGACCCTCGCTCGATAAATGCGCCCCACAGCTTTCCCCGCCCATCCCTACCTCGCAGCACTTTTACGACCACACCATCGACAACGGCTCGGCTCGGCGCAGCGGAGGAATTCCTCGAACACACTCCTTGGGCAAACCCACAACATTCTAGCCATGAGCAATATCTGCAACAGCTTCAGCAGATTAGGATGAACGAAGAGCAACACAGGGTGGAGAATGTATATGCTACCCCTGCTGCACAACAGCGCGTTGTCGATCTACACGCGCCCAACGGGTCAGCTTCGACGATCCCAGATCATGCATCCGCGCCTAACTCGTCAGCTACAAAGACTCCGCAGGACGTTGAACAGGATCGAATACGCCAACCACATCATACCAATAACAGGGCGCTCATAGCGGCTAACGAGTCCCCATTCGCTCACCGTCCCAAACCAGATGAAGCTGAAAGAATCTCTGGATTTCGGTCCCAATCATCGTCGCCGCTAGACTTGCGGAAACCCAATAATCCACGGCGGCCCCAGTCGAGAACCATCTCCGATCAGCGATCTCCCTCTCACGCTCAGCACCATCGTAATACTCCCTCGGAAGTCGGGCTTCATCAAAGCTCCAGCGCTACCAGAGATAACAATTATAATAATAACAACACCCACACAAACAGTAATAATAATACTTCTAACAATCTCCAATCTTCTCCACCCACCTCAGCGCGCTTGGGACTGTTTGGCGCGCCAACTCCATCCCAACGGGACCCATCTCCGCAACCACCGACTTCGGTTTCTGGCCCCAATCCTGAGCTACTCAGCTCCTCATCGTCAGGGGCAACGGCTGCCCGACAACGGTCTACGCCTCTGAACTCCATGCACCAAGCTGCTGGTATCACTGCAGGCGGGTCTGGGAGGAGTCGAATGGGGGCGCGATGATATATATATCTACGTACATCCGGGAAAAATATTTATACCGATCCTTCATGATGCACATCCACCGCTTGCACCTCACACCCCCCGTATTTACTTCCCACGTACGCGCTGCTCGCGCCTATGCTGGTGCCCGGTATCTGGCGCAACAATGAAAACTTGATAAATGGCGTTTTGTTTTGTTTTTCTTCACTCTACGAGCGCACGCGGTACGAAACGGTTGGGAATATGCAAGGGAATGGGCTGTATTTTAATTATTTTCTCTCTGCACGGTTGTTTGGTTGTTCCTCTTTCGTTCTAACTCGTAATAACTCCATAAGAGGGGGAAGGCCTGTAAGCAATTAACCCTTTTCTTTTCTTTTCATTTTTTTTGCATATCATTGAGGGGTTGGCGGACTGTGAGAAGTATTCCAAAGCATTTCTTATTTTTCCATTCTGTTATTTTCTAAACCATTTTGGACATAACATAATTACCTGGGTCAAAGAAAAGAACGAGAGTGGGTGTTTTTTAACCTTTTTGACTTTAATTTCAACTACAGTTCAAGATATATATTTGCTTCCTGCCGTTTCTTCTTTTAGCTCATGTAATGATGTATGTATTTGCAATGGGGTTGATACCTGGAACGTTTTACTCTTTTCTCTCTCTCCTCGATAAATATGTAAAAACATCTGTTTCCTGTTGAGCGATTTGACAAAAGGGAGTTTGCTTTATATGATACATACATATTTATCTTCATTTTTGTTTTTATGAGACCTGCCACATGAATTATCAGTTACAGAGTGATTTGTGTGCCTGATTTGATTTGATTTGATTGATTGATTGATTGATTGATTGATTGGCTTTTGCCCCCGAGTTCTGTCTTTGCCGTAGCCAACTGGCCCTCCCACAAGGTCATATTATATGGATACGACGAAAGTCATCCACACGTTCATCGCGGTTGAATTGCAGTACACGATATTCTTCAACTCCCATCTGAAACTGAACGGGACAGATTAGTCCGCAATGCGGGTATCGGACGAAATCAATCATGGCGCACGCACTTGGACAGATGCCCACAGCTTTCATCTGGCCAAAACAGCGTTGGCATCCGTTGAAAAATGGACGCACGTCGTCCACCGGTGTGTGTTGGCAATCAGCCTTCGCGAATTCTATCTGCTCCTGCTTCAGGGTGTTCTGCGTAGTTGGGTTCTGGTGGATGGCATATTCGTCTCCCGTCACGCTCCAGGGCGGCTATCGGGATCGTATGCGGCGAGGAGCAGGAGAAGGAGCAGGAGGGGGAGGAGGAGGAGGATGTCAAAAAGTTCGGGATCCCCATATATCTTTCACCCAAGCCTAGAGATGCCGGGTACATACATCATTTACACGCGCTTCAAGGACATAACTAATGCAAAGTGATGCATTTTATTATTTCATCTCGATTCTTCTCATCATCATAACGATCGTGGGTTAACATAACATTGCCAAAATGGGGTATATAATATTATGTTATAAAAGAATTGCTTGCGCAGATATCAGTCCCACCTCTATCATCTCACCTTAGAAAAAAAAACCTCAATAAACCCAAATTCAAACCTAGTCCACCACATCTTCCCATTGCTTATCGCATTCGCTTTCTCCTTCGCGCCTCCCAACATGGAGCCCTCCTACCCAAACCACTCGCACCCGAGCGTCACATCGTATCCACACATCTTGCAGACTGTACATCTGCTAGTCTT